GTCGGCGCACTCATGTTCATACCCATATCCTAACATCCTTACATAATCCTATAATCCCGCAAAAATATAATAGTAATCTCAAGTAAACAACATGATCTCCAAGAAGCCTAAACCCAAAACAACAACTTATAAAACCCGAGACAATACGACAGAAATACAAAAAAAAAAAATTCTTTCATATTCCATCTTTTTTTTTTACGAGGCTTCAAACCACAAAGCAAATTCATTTCCCCCGCCGTGTAATGTGTCAAGTCCTCTGAAAAATATCAAGTAAGATATTAAATCCCCAAGGGAGAAATGAAGATGGCGGGCCGAGAAGATATATCCCCCTAGGGAGAGGAGTTATGCGACAAGCAAGGTTACAAACTTAACCTTCTCCTCCCAATTGTAAATAAAGAAACGATTCTCAGCTGTGTTCGCTTTCGCTTCGGGATAGACGCTTGGAATATGGCAAGAACATCGTTAAGTATCTCGTAGCTGATTCTGCTGCCTATATAGGGTCTCTGTGACACCCCTGGCAGGTGCGTATGGGTGTGTGTGTGTGTGTGTGTGTGGGTGTGTGTGTGTGTGTGTGTGTGTGTGTGTGTGGGTGTGTGGTGTGTGTGTGTGGGTGTGTGTTGGGAGCAAAGGGTCTATCCAGCTTGCGAGGGGATGGGGGAGGAGGAGGAATTATCAACACATCGCGTATGACCTCCAGAATGCACATGGAACGCACGCACACACAACCACACACAACACACACACACACACACACACACACACACACACACACACACACACACACACACACACACACACACACACACACACACATTCCATCCTCCAGCAGTAACTCTCCCAACCAGAGAATAAGTCACAATAATGCCGTTGTTTGTTTAAGATTCGCTACCTGGAACAAAAAGTTCCAAGTAGCACGGGCTATGGTGAGCCCGCAGTACGCTCAAACCACATATCACATCCCATACGGAACGAGCGACGGCCTGTGTGTCCATCCTGCTTATAACGAGGGGTACAAATATTATCATATCATCTATAATCATACAAATATCATTATATCATCCATAATCATGACGCCTATATTACATCATCTATAATCATGAAAGACTATGATATCATCTCTAATCATGAAGCCTATGATATCAGGTATAATCGGGCTAGGGGCTAGGGCTTAGAGAGAGAGAGAGAGAGAGAGAGAGAGAGAGAGAGAGAGAGAGAGAGAGAGAGAGAGAGAGAGAGAGAAGAGAGACAGATAGACAGAGACAAGAGAGAGAGAGAGAGAGAGAGAGAGAGAGATAGAGAGAGAGAGAGAGGAGAGAGAGAGAGGAGAGAGAGAGAGAGAGAGAGAGAGAGAGAGAGGAGAGAGAGAGAGAGAGAGAGAGAGAGAGAGAGAGAGAGAGAGTGAGAGAGAGAGAGAGAGAGAGAGAGAGAGAGAGAGAAGAGAGAGAGAGAGGAGAGAGAGAGAGAGAGAGAGAGAGAGACGAACGAACTTGTGTATCCTTACCAGTTAACTTCGTTACTACCTTCACTAAGCGTCTACGGACTGAACGAACAGGTCCAGCGTTCAAAAGTGAGCGCTGGACTCCCGCCTCCAGTGATGTGTTCCGTCACCTTCCAGTTCAAGTTGGCGCGCATTTAAATTTAACGTTCGCTCTGATGTATTTTATTACTGGTAAATTTTGTGTCCTTGGTCTGTCGACTAATATCTTTATAACAATTACGGTAATGTTTCCTAAGGTTAATATGCAATAAAATAAATGTTTACGTTATAATTTGGCATACACACTTTCATACAAACATGAACGCCATTCATGAGAATACACACGCGCGCACGCACACACACACACACACACACACACACACACACACACACACACACACACACACACACACACACACACACACACACACACACACACACACATTAAGGATAGGTGCAGAAGGATTCACTACAAACGACAAGGAAGTGTGTGAGGAACTGAATAAGAAATTCCAGGAGGTCTTCACCTTAGAGCAAGGAGAAATTCCAGAGATAAGAGAGGGAATAGTTAACCAGGAACCACTGGAAGAGTTTGAGATTACCAACGGGGAAGTAAGGAAGAGTTTACTAGAGTTGGATGTGACAAAGGCTACAGTCCCAGATGGATTCTCCCCATGGATACTAAAGGAAGGAGCAGAAGAACTGTGCCTGCCACTCTCCATAGTGTATAACAAATCGCTGGCAACAGGGGAACTGCCAGAAAATTGGAAAGCAGCTAACGTAGTCCCACGCGAACAAGGGAACACAGGTGGAAACAGAGTACCCACATGAGCCACAGGGACGTTAGAAGGAACTTTTTCAGTGGCAGAGTAGTTAGTAAATGGAATGCATTAGGCAGTGATGTGGTGGAGGCTGACTCCATACACAGTTTCAAATGTAGATATGACAGAGCCCAGTAGGCTCAGGAATCTGTACACCAGTTGATTGACAGTTGAGAGGCGGGACCAAAGAGCCAAAGCTCAA